GATACAACTGTGTAACCAACAGTGTAATATAAGTGAAATTATCACTAATTGTATTGTAACAACAGAGTAGAGAAGAATAATTTGTCTTGCCAATTGTGTTCTAAAGTAATTGAACAAACCTGTGTGGACTTTTGATAAAAAGAGACAATTATTTAAAGCTCTGGATACAACTGTGTAACCAACAGTGTAATATAAGTGAAATTATCACTAATTGTATTGTAACAACAGAGCAGAGGAGAATAATTTGTCTTGTCAGTTGTGTTCTAAAATAATTTAACCACCCTGTGTGGACTTTGATGAAAGGAGACAATTATTTAACCTTTTCACTGCAGCTGGGACATATATTTCAGCTGCATTAATATATATTTGCATTTGTATATATGTTTGACTTGTTTGATATATTATTTAAAAACAAGTGGACTGTGTGCTATTTGTTTATTGTTGAAATTTATCGTCAACAAATCACAGACGTCTATTGTAAAGAATCCGGCCCATCCATACAATAAAAACCTGACATAAGCTACTTTTGCTCGGGGCCATTACATTTTCACCTTGATTTGCACTGTAAGAATGATTTTAAACATATTCAGACATCTAGGACTCTGTAGATTTAGTAGAAACAACAATAAAGGTTCTTCAACTATTTCTTATGACTTTCGTTGGTTGAGATTTGATCAATCTTATCCAAGTCTGTCAATCTGAGACTGTGAAGGTGGTTACAGTGAGAAGAATAAAGTATCTAAATCTAACTATTCCTTCTGCTTCACAGTTTTCTTTTCCTTGTGTTTCTAATGTTTTTGGATGACCTTTCTTTCTGATTGCTTAAACTTCAACAGAAACCCCATTGTAACAGCATCCATAACGTTTGCATTTCAAGGAAATATAACACCTTCTAACCTTGCACTTGAACCTGAAACTAGGTAAACATGACTTTCTGAGGTTCTCACAGTATATATTGACTAGTTCAGCACTAAAAATAAACCTTCTGTATGAAATTTAATTTGCAAAAAGCAGTAGATTTTCACAAAAATCTTGACACAAATTTGGGGGGGGGGAGAAGAAATCATTCTGAAATTAATAGAGGTGAACTGATGAGTAGAAAACTTTTATTGTTCAAAAGCTCTAATATTAAATTATCACTGAAAAGCAATTTTAATGTTTTTTATCATTTGCTCGATATTGTAATGATCAAAACAACCACAACTTTTTGTATGATTAAATTCTGATTCTAGGATTAAATATTATCTTTGTTTTAACAGGTAATCAGGTTAAACTTGTTTGACTTCATATCACAAAAATGTACTAACTAAAGTTTATCAATAACTTCTGACCAAAGAAAGATACCTATATATATATATATCAGAAATAAAAACTAGCTCAGTAATCAATACAGCTATTTTAATATACCATTCTAGCTAGGTTTATAGAACGTCATAAAACAAGATTTACAATTTATAATACATTGATTCATTAGTTGGATACTCTTGATATTAGTGTTATTTTTTTTACTATGATCTCCATAATATCTTACGAGGTTCAGCCAGGTTAGGAAATTTAGGTTGATCCTAAATCCATTTGCTAAGCTAACAATTCAAAGTAATCCTCATTATAAAATAGATATCATAAAAAATATAAATATAAAACATTTTAACCAGTATTGTTAATGAAAGTAACATTAAATAATAGAATATAAATATTTTACAAAACACAAAAAAACAGTTGTTTACCTTATGTACTATCACTATTTCCCTGGGTAAATAAAATTTTATATAATCTACCCGAACAGTGTCTAGTAATCAATAAAAGCCCATTAAATGGCCTCAACAGTAACACTTTGGAATAGCTGAACATCTGAGATGAATTACTATGATATTGTTATGACAGCGGAAGTCACGTGACGATAGTAACACTTCATGAGCTTCTAGAAAATCCATGTCCCTTCGTGAAGCCTCGAGTGTTTACTAGATATGTGGTATTCTTGTATATAAGACCGCCAAGATGTGACGGCAACAGTGCAGTTGAATTGCAGACAGAGATAGAGACGGACAGTTGGGTTGAGCGCGTGTGTCGTTCGTTGTGAATTATAGCGTTTGTTTAAGATATACCGTGACCGTGGAAATTAAGTGAATTTCAAAGTTGTATTGAGAAAGAATAAACTAGTTTTATTTAAGAAAGGACTTGTGTCACTAAAGTTTCATCGGAAAGAAATTATACGGGAAATTAACTAACGACCAGAGATAGAGACGTAACAATATGTTTCTGTTTAAATATAGATCCAGGTAGCAGGACTGTACAGATGGTATTGTGAAAACTAATGAAGATGAAAAGTAATAAATAAATGACAAAATTGTTCAATAAATAATAAAAATATTCATTTAAATAATGAAATGTATGTAATAAAAAGAAAAATAATTTACTAAACATACAATAACATGTGTCTAACGCAACTAATCCAACTTTAACTAACCCTTTACAGAGTTGACAGCTGGAAGTAATAAAACATTTAAACCCTAAGAACTAACTGAAATGTATCAGTGATAATAATATATGAGAAATACAATAATTCTAATAAGACTTGAACATAGAAATAACAAAAATGATGAGTATAACAAAGTATTTATAAATGCTTATATAAGTAAACTAATGACATAATGTTATACCATAAAAGGTAATACTGCTTACATTAACTGTAGTGATAAGTTAACTCAACTGGAGTTCAACTAATGGCAATCACCAATGTTAAATTTGCTCCAATAACTAATTTCAGTTACAGTATTAGAATGTATTAGTTATACTGATATGGTGTATTCACTATATTAAGTTTTAATTAGCTTATCCTTATACAGTTATTATTTAGACAACCCTGTCAACTAGTGTGTTCTAAGTGGCACAGAGCAATTCAGAACATTTCAATTTAGTGCTAATTCAGTTTCATTTTATGCAGAGCTATCAACTAATGACTGTTTTAACTACTACTAACAAAAGTCAGATTGTTAGTTAATAGTCGTTTGCCTTTATCATAAGTAGATCTGTTAGCTAATAATTGTTTAAAGAAATTTGTTGATAAAACCAAACTTTCCTTTTCTTAGGGTGCAAAGAATATATACACTAAACCTGGAATTGTTCAGGAGTTTTTTTCTAATATAAAAAAGCCATCAAAAAAGAACTGCAGACACATAATTGTCTTTCATTGTGAATTTTCTTCCGAAAGAGGACCTGCCTTGTAAGTGTGAATCCTTTAATAGTTCATAGTCTACTATATGTACAAAAATATCAGTATCATTTAACATAAGCTCTTAATTCTCCTCCAGAAAGAGACTGATTTTATGATTATATAGTACTTATAGTTTGGAGGTTTAATATTATATGTGTGTTTTAAGATTGAGTATAAAGTTTCTTCTGACAGACAACCTTCCTGATAAGTACCCCATCACTGAAGTATACTACATCCACTTAATAAAGGTGTTCTAAGATCTAACATATAAACTTAGCTGATAATACCACTTGCATTACTTAGTTCTTAACCTTTAATATCAACTAAGTTTGTCAAATCCAGAAAATATCTATCTTTTAACCCTATCAAGACTGGTTTGGCACCTTTCAGGTGTCAGGTGTATACCTGCTTATCAAATTTCAATAATAATAATGCTAACTCTTTTTCAACAATTTTTAACTCAGAAATAATTTAGTGAAATTCTCAAAGAAGTATTTAAAAAATGTTCCAACTTTCATTGTTCTGACGTATTGCTTCTAAAAAATTTTCCAACTTTCATTGTTCTGACGTATTGCTTATAAAAAATGTTCCAACTTTCATCGTTCTGATAAGTATTGCTTATAAAAAATGTTCCAACTTTCATTGTTCTGACATATTGCTTATAAAAAATGTTTCAACTTTCATTGTTCTGACGTATTGCTTATAAAAAATGTTCCAACTTTCATTGTTCTGACAAATATTGCTTATAAAAAATGTTCCAACTTTCATTGTTCTCACGTATTGCTTATAAACAACAGTTTGTATTTATTTTTCTGCTCATCCCAAAATATAAATTTATATTTGTTAAAAAACTATGAAAATATAATGATTCATGTCATGTTTTTCACATGATATTCTTTTTCTATGAATGGTTTTAATACCCTTTCATGATGTTATAGTATATTTGGTGCCCCCAGTGAAGTTTCGTTACTCATGGTGGGCACAGCACAGATAACCCATCATGTAGCTTTGTACTTAACAAAAAAACAAGCACATGTGGTCTGTACAATTACTAATGAAGCTCAGCTTTGAAATAGCTTGAGTCAACAACTAAATACTATTAGATAGAGCAGATTATAATCTATCTTCCATAGAGTAAATAAGGTGGTTTTGAGTAGTAATTCTTGTTTCTTTAGATATTAGCTACCTGAAGCTCTTGTAGGGATAAAATAATCTAATGAGAAGTTTGAAATAGCTTGAGTCAACAACTAAATACTATTAGATAGAACAGATTATAATCTATCTTGCATAGAGTAAATAAGGTGGTTTTGAGTAGTAATTCTTGTTTCTTTAGATATTAGCTACCTGAAGCTCTTGTAGGGATAAAATAATCTAATGAGAAATTTAGGAATAAAACATAGATCTGGGAATTTGTATATTGTTTCTTATACATATTTTTTCACTTCTTAAAATGATTTCATGTTAAATTATATTTGTTCGAAAGCTACAGAGTATAGTAGGTGATGGCAATGTTCCAGTGTCTCAAATCCTTTTGTATTGACAGCTGTTGTTAAGTAAAATAACTTATTATCTAATGAAAATAAATTATATTAGATATAAATTTATTTTGACCAAGAATATTGTTACCAAAAATGATGATACCTGACAAAGGCATCAGTGACATAATTTTTAAAGATAAGGTTCTAGATCATCGATAAGTCTTTGTTATTTTTCATGATTTGTAGCCAGAAATGGAGACAACTGCAATTGGCAAAATAAAGGTATCAAAAGAAATAGTTGTTGATGAATACCATTCAAGTTGAAACTGGCTGGATATATACAACTGTGTTTTCTGATCAAAAATGTTTCAAAAAATAAAAGGAAGTATTTTTGTTTCAAAAGAGTGCCACACAACAAAGCTTTGGAAATTTCACAGCCGTAAAAAAATATCAAACTACTAAATCAAATTACATTAATTTTTTAGATACTATTTAGTAGTTTTTGCTAAGTTTCTTGCAACTTGGTTAAGGGAAGGAAAAATAAGGAGATACCAGCAAGAACTCTTCCAGTCTAGAAAGGGTTAAATACACACAGTTCAATGTCAAAATGTTTCATACAGAAACATTTCTCTTATATGAATTTTTGACGTCAAATATTAAAGAATGAAAATACACTTTTTGTATTACTGTTGATCTATACAGAATTATTTGAACCACTCGGAATACACTTTACCTTGATACGTTCACATGGAAGTGGTGACAAAGTTTACACAGACATTCAGATTGTTAATTCATTATCTTTAAATTTTACCTTCTACAAAAAAACACCAGATAGAAGTTAGAATTTATTCAGTCTTAACTCACATATTATGGTCTTAATATTTTACTATATGGGTCATGGTCATAGCTTGCATTATATTTTATGAAGTAAAACATATATATATTGTATCCTATAAAACTTATGTTCATCATGCTAATATTTGGTGAATTCTTATCAGATATGTTCACAACCATCATTTGACCTAATATCAAATGTTATTGTTGTGTGCAACTTCTTTAAAATTGTAAACTTTAAAAACTTCAAAATATTTCTAAAAGTGTTTATTTAATTAATTCTCTTAATTGGTTCAGGTACAAATTCCTAAGAGAAATGGACAGACAAGCCAATAAAGAGTGCTATCCTCAGTTATACCATCCAGAAATGTACATCCTTAATGGAGGTTACAAAGCTTTCTACGAGAAGCACTGGGTAAGATTTGGAAATTTCATAGCTCAAACATGGAATATCTGCATCATTATTGTAAATAGTTTTTGTAATATTGTTCCACAATCTTCTTTGATGAATGTGTTGTACTCGTTACCTTGCATGATTTTATATCTCTTTATGTAACCTAGTGGCATTTAGAAATATCTCATAAAACTAATACATATTTTCTCATGAAGATTTGTAATATTTTTCTCGAAATGAAATTCTTAAAAGTTCATAAAGTGCTTGATCTCATTGTAAATATTTAAGAAAATAATGTAGGATTATGGTAAAGAATGTGTGTTCTAAAAGTTAAAAAGGCAGTTTTAAATAATATTTGAACAAATAGTTTGCCTTTTAGGATAAGTAAATACACTTTCACGAACAAATTAGTATTATGTGAAATTGTTAATAAATTTTATAAGTGGTTTGTTTGGTATATCTTACTTCTGTTTGGGTGAGTTTGCTCTATCTGACAGTCAAAATTTCTGTGAAAATAAAACTATACATCCATTTTTACCAAGTCGCAAGACACTATCCTGTGCTTAGTGAGTAGGGATGGGCCAAGAAATAATAGGCTGCCACATTCAAGCAATTACTATATGATGCTTAGAAATAACTGCTAAAGTTGAGTTATAACCTTATTTGAGCACCTAATTGTCATTATCGAGAGTTTCACAGCTTGTATAACATATTATTCTGTTCTTCTACCATATGTATTTTTATAGGCAAATAATAAAAAGAAAAACTACTAGTTAGCAGTGAATTCAGTTTATATCCATGTTTCATAAGTAACAGTTTCATTTTTGGTTACTAGATGGAAGCACAAATTGTTCTTATACGACAACCGTTTGTTACTTTTCATTGCACAAACATATGTGCCAAAACAATTTCACTGAAAATATGTAAAGAAAGAAAGAATAATCTGAAATAATATTCAAAGTATCAAGGACATCAAGTATTTATGCAACTGACAAATCTATGTATATGTTATTGATGTCCGAGTTTAAACAAACCAATTTCTTAATTATCAAAATATTACATTATATATTGGTCTACTTTTATTCGCATTTTCAGTGAGGCTGAGCCTGGCAGCTGTGTATGTGTATATACGTGTGTATCATGGTCTGTATGATGTCTTCCCTATTATTGACATGATTCTAGCATGTAGTGGAGTCAATTGTATACACGTGCAGTGAGTTGGGGTGAAGTTGGAAGATGTGGGTTCTCTAAATATCCCCTTAACATCAGTTCAGGACTCTGGGGTACTTGCACCATCCTGGAGGAACCATTTCAGCTTCACTGGCCCCCAGTGTGATCCAAAATTAGAGAAACTGGCAAAGCTGATATGATATTAACAATATATATTACCATTAAATTATAAAAATATAACAAATGTTCACTTATCAACCTACTTCAAGGAAAGTGTTTAAAAAAAACAAGAGGAGAAACAAGTAATAAAAAAATGGCAAAAAGCAAGTATGATGTAGGGATGGCAATGCTGAAAAGTACAGGAAAAAGGTAAGGCTGAATATACAAAACCATACAAAAATCCCTACATAACTAGCCAATAAGTACTGCGTCAACCTTATTACTTATGATTATTAGCCACTGTAAGATTGTACAGCATTATTCAGTTTAAATGCTTTTATTCAAACCTGAATTCATGCAACTGACACAAGAATTCAACAATTAGTTCTAAATAAAAGTTTTTTCTTGGAAAGATTTCACTACTTATGTGTTGATACTTATCAGTTTTTGTGTATTCATCCCTACCTTGGTTCTATACTTTTTGGCATTGTCATCTCTACATCATACTTAATTTTTGCAAAAAACTTTTTATTATTTCTTGAAATTCATATCTTTGCAAGTCAAAAACCACAGTTTTGTACTTCTCTAAATGATTTCATGTATTAATTTTAAACTGTTTAACTAAAATAACAATACATTCTTATTTACTATAAAATATGTTTGATGTTAAATACAAAGTTTCAGTGCAGTAAGAATAATCTAAAAGTGATTTCTAAAGAGCATTTCATGTATCTTGAAGCTAAGAATTTGCTGACTCATTTATTTGTGTACAGAAAAAATAATTTTGCTTTAGGCCATATTTAGTACTGAAAAACAGTAGTATTAAAACTTCTTTTCATTGTGTATGTTTATTTTCAGGAGTTCTGTGAACCCCAGCAGTACAAACCCATGAAACATAAAGACCACAAACATGATCTCTGTCATTTTCGTGCCAAGTCTAAATCTTTGAACGAAGATTCTAAAACAAAAGTATCTGTTCCTTCAAGTTTGATATTTTAATGAAAACTATGATAATTGTACAGTTTTTGTTTATACAACTAATAACTATATACATGTATGTTTCTTTGTAATTTTATAAGATGGTTATTATTTACAATAATGATATTTTATGTTAAATATCAGTATTAATTCCATTGCAATTTGAGTTAAATGGGCTTTCTCTAACCCATGCATTAATGTTTCATAAATTGATCAACATTAAAGTACATTAACTTCATGTCAACTCAAGAAATATATTTTCAATACCACTATGTTTTAACATTATATTTACAAGATAGGTTTTAAGCCTACAAATGACAAATTGTTGGTTATTTTATTTATATTTTTACATCAATTTTTAGTTTTTTTTTATTTATTTGAAGCAGCTAATAAAAGTAAAACTGTATGTGTGTTTTCACAAGAACTTTACTCTTACAAAATTATTTCAGTATTAATTTTCTTTAATACTATTTAACATCAAATATGGAAAAGTAATAAAATACGTTTATTTGAAACAATACCAGATTCATATACTTTGCCATTAAAAGTATTAAAAACCTTATAGCATTTACAAAGAAATAATAATTTATCTTTATTTTTTTTCACAGTGCATTTTTATCAATTTATTATCAAAACTGTTAAATGTTTAAATAGACATAAATGTTTTCCTACCCAGATACCTTGTTCTTGTGTTTATATTTGATGTTTACAGTTACCAAAATTCATTTATTCATAAAATACAGGCTTCATACATCAATTTTTTACTGAGTATTTTTACGAAAGATTTATCTATAAATTTAAGAGTCAGAATCTGATTTTCATATAAGATTTAAAATATTTGTTACATCTTACAGTTTTTACATTTCATTTGCATGACCAATATGAATATCAAAAGATTTTCAGTAAAACTTTATATTACATCTGTTGTTTTCTCTACCCTAACACTGTATGGGCTTGGTCTATTTTACCAGTAAAACTTTATATTACATCTGTTGTTTTCTCTACCCTAACACTGTATGGGCTTGGTATATTTTACCAACCTTGCAAACAACACAAAAAAGTACGAAATAAATCTAATTTATCCTTTATTCTTTCTAGAATTACTGTAGATTGTAACAGAAAATTACAATTATTTCTTCTAAACAGCCTCAGACCTGTAACAGTTTACATTTGTTTTCATTTAATTTTATTGTTTCATTGCACTTTGAACCATTCTAACCCCAGCATATAATAACAGGATTGTGGAAAGTTTAAGGTGCACAAAATTTTAGGTTACATCATGCAATGTCTAACTATGTTCCTTGATAGAAAATTTCTTTTTTTTATTTACATTTCTTTATCTAAGCTAATAAGTTTTTAATTCTTACATTTTAATTACTTTTGTTAAAAAACATATACATTAACAATAGGAAATCAGATAGTCTTCATTAACCCTAAATTTTTGTCTCTAAGGAGATTGTCCAAAAAGTAATTCATGTAGCTTTCAAATGTGCATTTCCAAACATAAACAATAATTCAAACAGTAAAACAGAATGTCCCAAAACTAACTTATCTGGCTATCTAGCTGACCCATAAAAAGTTTCCAAAAATGTCTTTACTTACTGAAGCATCAACTTCAGTGTTCACTCTATAAAATTTGCCTGGGAAATGGTGCCTTTTATTGAAATAAATGAACATAAAAATGTAATAATCACCTAGTTCACAAAATGGTCTTTCTATTGATTTTAAACATATACCATTGACAAGTAAGTGTGAGTAAATAATTAATTTCAGAAGGATGAAGAGTTAGGAGGAACTTCTGTGTTGGATGTGACGAATTTATTGATATCTCAGAAAATAAGAAAGGTGGGAGGCTCTTATTTTAAATTCTGGCCTATAAATATCTATAGTTGTTGTATATAATTGGTTGAAATTCTGAAGCCCATGTAAGAGATGAAAGAAAATCTAAAATAGAGAATTCAGAGCAGAGAAGCATCACATGACAATAAGAATGAATACAGATAAATTATTTAAATATTTCCTTTTTAAATTAAGAAATCAAAACTTGTATGCTTTTACGTTACTGTTATCAGCATACATTGATAATAAAGTTGTTTAATTAAATTTTGAATGTAACTCTGGGAAAGTCATGACATGCACACTTTGACCTACACCTGTGCATGCAGATTTAACAAAATCTTCCTCTCTCCATATTCTAGGTGTCACATAATGTCTTTTAGTAATAACCAATTAGAATCACCAAAACTTTTTTTTTCTGTATTTGAATAGAGTTAAAATATTGTTTTTACTACTTTTTAGTGCCTAAACTTGGAACTAGGAATATTTTCCAAGAACTGGGCTACATATTACTAAGCAGCAATCTTTCTCAGAATCAGTTCTTGAAAAATACCTTCAGAATAGCAAGTCTATCAAAGGATCTAGACATTATGAAAAGGCATTATTTGAGATCTGGAATGTGAACAGATAAGTATTTTGAGAAAGAATGCCAATAAAGTGAAACTCATACTAACTTACATTCTATTTTTAAGTAAACTAAGCTGTAAATAAGAAAACAAAGAGCTCATAAAAAAGTACAAACTTTGTAAACATCATTTTATTATAAATAGATAAGAAGCAACAATACACTTTTAAATATTTCATCATAATCACTCAGAAATTGTTTGAAATTCATACATACACCTTGCAGATATTATTAAACCTATGTCCACATGAAAAACAAATTAAAAGAGAAAGTATATCTTTCAAGTAGCAAGAGAAAGTTCACTAATGTTTATGTTGCAAAAATGATTTATTTCATGGAAAGTGATGTCAGAATATGGTGGAGAAAAATTGTTATATCTTACACAAAAAGCTGCTTCACAGCAAAATGTAACACTACTACTACAAAAACAAGTCTTATATGAAATCATTATTAATAACTATCAAATAGACTACAAAGAAAAATATTTGGAAGTTTTTTTTTGGCACATGCTGACTATACAAACTACTTTTTTTTCAACAAGCTTATAATTAGTGCAACAAAATAACAATCACTTTAATGTTAGGCTTGCTAGCATAGTATAGCACCTAACATTATTAGAATATCTTTTGGTTACTTTCATACAAAATAATGATATACTTTCTTTAACAATTAAAAAGTTTGAGTAATTTACAATATTATTAAACTTCAATACAGTTTTTCTTTCAAATCTATGTACTTGCTGATTTATCAATTGCTTTTTTCCTGACAAGATTTTACTCAAAAAGAAACAATTTGACAAAAGCAGTCTAATGTGAAAGAAAATAAATTTAAAAAGTCTTCAGACAAAATTAAACTTAAGTAGCTTTCTGATGAATTCTTAATACCATTTAGCTTTTCATTTCTGAAATGTTAGTAAACAATTACTATGGAATATCACAATAGGACAGAAAATTTGCAATTCTGATTACATTTAAAAACAAAAAAGTGAATTGCTTTATAATGAATTATTTAAGTTAAAAAAAAATTCTTGATTGATAAATTTTTTCATAGTTTTTTGTGGCTTGATTTATTATTAAGTTCATTTCAAGAATTGTACTATTCAACTCTACTGTTATTAAAATATAAACCCCTTTGACCCTAAGAATATTTGTTTCAAAGTACACATTCTTATACTCATATGTGACACAAGATACAAATAACCTTGCACTGTGATCGACTAAATCACCAGTACTGGTTAAGAAATAACAAATCAGTGAATAGCTTTCATCTGTTTCCTGACTAATGCCAAAAATGGTGAAAATGTGGTACCCTATATTTGATGTATTTACATGTTAAAAGTTCAAAATTGCAAAGTTGCTTTATTTGTGATGACTCTAATTGTATTGAACTACATCTTACTACACAGATGTCTTTATTCGTGATGATGATTCTAGCTTATATTGAACCACATCTCACTATACATGCTAACAGGGCCATCATATTGAATGTAACAATGGTAACTAAATGATTAAGAAACACATCTATAAGTTTATGGACTTGCACCCTTAAAATCTGGAATTAAATTTCCCATGGTGGACAGAGCACAGACTGCCCATTGCATAGCTTTGTGCTAAATAAACAACATATAATTGCAATAAACTAATATCTAAAAACATAATTCTGTTTTTATGATAAAAACTAGCAGACTGCAAAACATATGCAGTCAAATTAATATCTTTATAGCAACATTACTTCTTTAAATACAGGATCGTAGGCCTAAACCATGATCAATTATATTTCCAGCTAACTAACTTAACAGGAAATGCCAAGTATTAAGCTGTCATATCAGAACTTTCAATTTCACAATAATACAAAAGAATTCTAACTGCAGACACCGAAATGTATAAATCCGCTTTTTTAGGCCTAACATTAGTTAAGCCTTTATTAAATACATCTTATATTCGATAAATACATAAGTTACCACTGTAACTTGTGCATGCTTTTTACTCTAGTTTAATTAGGGCTAAACTTTACTGTAGTTAATACAATCAATAAATAAGCTTATAATGTTATTCTACAACATGATGTTAGACCTTTTTATTGCATAATTTCAATACTATACTGAAGGAAGGGCAGAAGCCCCTGGGGGGAGGGGGTTCAAAACTCCAACCCGTTATATTTTTAACAGGTCAAGCAAAGCTAATTATCACATAAACCATAGCCAGAATTGATACAACAATGTGTATAGATAATGAAGGCACAGAATTTCATGTTCATTCTTGATTTTCTACAATATATTTATGATAAGAGTAGAAAATTCAATGCTACGTGTGTCTAGGAAGTTACAATAAATGTTACACTTAATTTTGATCTATTTAGCTATATAATGAGTTGTTAAAACACTTTAAAGAGTTGTATTTTACCAAGGGCAGAGGATTACCTCTTAAAAAACTTTAAGCTGTATTGAGAAAGTTTTTTACTCTCTCCTTAATACATACTTTGACTCTACACAGTTACTTAGCTTTTATTTTCACTAGCCTCTCAACTCTAACCTATATAAGAACTTGTCAAGTTGTTGATCACTTCATCACTTACGTTGAAAAAAAAGTTTTTCACACCTATTTAATCACATACTATGGCTAAGTGTGAGCAACTACTACACATGAAACAACATCCATTTCTCATAAAATTAAAATGCATTAGATAATTTTTCTTTCTTCTCACTATTAAAGGTCAAGAAAAACCTACAAATAAAACATGCAGGCTAATTAACAGCAACGGATGTGATATTTTCTAACAATGAAGAGCCTAGTAACATTCTCCAAAAGAAAATGGAAGTGCCAAGTTATATAGCAAATAGTGCAACAGTGAAATAAAAAAACACTGACTATAAGTGCTTCTGATGCCCAGCAAATTTTCTAAAGTAATGATATTATAATATAAAGCATGGCTAAGGAATTCCATAACTGACAGCAATTTGAAAATGGAGTTTTAACAATGGAGGGATAAGTAAACTCGTTTGTTCTGAAAATTGACTTTATCAATTTAGAAACATTTATGGGCAGCCAATAGGTGTTGTAGCAAGCCAAATTTTACTGGTTATTTTATTTCAATCTGAATAATTTTACAATGTCCATTTGTAATAACAACATTACCATTCAAGAAAACCACAAAAAATAATAGCATATGCCTTAGAAGAAAAGTTAACAGTTTCTTTCTGGGTGTAAACACAGTTTAGTGGTAATTCAAACCAGAAGTTCTGGATTTTTACTCTAGTTCTACTGTTTTATTAAAGCCTACTCAGAACAGAAACCAGTCTTATATTATATTAGAACTAAAAATGCATTCAATGTCGAAATCAACCCCTTGCAACCTATCATCATGTAAAATTATACAGAGATTAGCATACATTTTTTATTTTGCTAGATTTTTAACATTTAAAAATACTCTTGTTGATTTCATTTTATAAAGCATAAAACCCACACATTTTTTCTCCCTCTATTTGCATAAGTCTAATTAACTACATCAGGAACAAATTGCTTAGTAAAATATTTCCACATCAAGTGTATTTAAATCCATGACAGAATTGTTCAATTAGTTTTCCCTGTGTACTCAGTGTGAAAGTTTTTAATCCAAAGTGTAAAAAGATAATTGTGTAAAATCCAGCATAAATAGTTTTCAACTAGAATTACTTCTGAAAATTATCAAGAATTGACACTGTAGAAGACTGCAACTTTCAACAAAACAGGCATCGCTAATAAGTGACTTTAGTTTGTTTGTTTCTCAATATAACATTATAACTCCACTTGGATTTTGGTCAGGGGCTGCCTTTGGCTGTCTACGTTCCCATGGTTGAGTTATAGCTAGATATATAAGAACATTGTTTAACAAATAGAAAATTAAGGCAATAAGAACATACCAAAAACTATTTGATAAATATGCCTTATCCTTGGAAGTCCATTTTTCTTCAATTTCTTCCTGTGTCATAATGTTGTTTTTCAAGGCAGTATGAAACAAGACTGCCCACATTATGATCGTCATTAGAGAAGCTATCGCTAGAAAATGAGAAAACACACTTGTTAAAATTGTCAAGTAAATCCTCTCTCGAGTAAGCACAATGGGTTAACATTGTGGTTTAGTTTGATATCTCGTCATTCACCTACCTAAAGTCTTACTGTTATGTTCAGTATAAAACAAGAAAAAAACAACTTTGTGTTACAATGTCATAGAACAAATGTTTTTTAAACACTAAAGGGAAACCACACAATTAATTGTAACTTACTAGTGTGTAGTGTATGATTAACCTCAAGATTTTTGATGATCTTGCAAGCAAAGATCTTATAGGAAAACACTGCTGAGGCTTAGTAGAAGATACATCAAACAAGTAAAGCTATAGAAACAATTTCTCTTTAGTAAACCATGACAAGATTATACTCTGAAAAACTTGGTTTCCTGGTAGAAATATAAAGCTTTATCATTTTCTAGCTGTGAAAAACACAAAAAAATGGGTCATTATACAGTTAGCCTCTAATCAAAGTTATAATTTCCCTATAATGAAAATATATTTCCAATAGGTACTTACCTCCTATCACCTAAATAGCTATTCTTGTTCAGTGCTGCCCTCTATATGGCAACAAATTTTTCACATGTCACAAGTTTCAGCTCCCACATACTTTGCAGTCAAATGGTTCAACTGCGTCTCTTGTACGAGTCTTCATGTGACAATCCTCCATCAATAGGAGTGCGACACACTCTCCTGATGCACTTGACTCCCTCTATTCTATTCTACCAAACTATTTTTGGCAGAAAATGGAAGCACCGGTTTTCAGTGGGGAGGAAGGGTGGGAAGTGAGGTAAGTACCTATCACAAATATATTTTCAGTATAGGAAAATTATAATTTCTGATACAGTACATTACCTCCACTCACATAAATAGCTAGAACCCCACACTGAATAGGTGGAGGGACTGGTGTGAAAGAAAAACAATGAAGCATTTTCGAAAGCATCCAAAGAACACCCTAAAAGAGTAGATCCTCACATTAGAGGTCCATATATAGGAGACTGCACCACTTCTGTAGTAGGTATACTATTTGCCCAGTGTGGAAAGAGGTTTCGCAGACATGGGAAGAGCATATCCAAAGGGAGAGGTTGTGCCCCTAGGTGTAGAATAGCTAGGGTGGAACAGACTGTACGTGGCAAGTCAACTGCATCTAAAACCAACCCAACAGGAACCGACATTCACACAAGAGGTAGGATGAGGATCACACTTTCAGTAAGTCATCTATAATCCAAAACCCAGTCACAGGGAACTGATATCCATGTGGGGGTAGGAAAGAAGATTATACTGCCTTCACCTCAAGTTCAGCAGTACGGAGGGAGTCTTGTCCCCCCCCCCCCGAACTGTGAACGGGATATATGACAGAAAAGTGATCAATTGTATGACCAATCTGGGAAACCAACATCTGGACGATTGGCATAATAAAGATGTCTTTGTTACAGAAACTAACCCACTCAAAACCATATGACAAGGAACCACCCCCAGAGCAATAACATCCTCAGTATATGAAAATCATCGAGGGATAGCATAAGAGGAAGAACCATATTAATCTGCAAGTTTGATCACCGTGATCCAAAACACGGGCAGAGGAAAAATGAATATAACTGAGTGAGGAACAGAGACACATATAATACATGTTTGAAGACTTATGTTGATTGGTTCAGCTCTATGTCCAAAACCCAGCCACTGGGAACTGACATCCATGTGGGGATAGGATGAGGGATCCCAATTAAAGAGGTGAACTGCAATTATGAAGGCTCACTCCATGGCTACAACATCCCCTCAGATAAACCTGTACAGAGATAGAGCATCAGATTGGAGAACATCACATCATCTACACCAGCAGAACACCACTGCCCTACTCTCAACTGAATGATTCTAACATTATTTGTATCGTATATCAACATCATATTCAGGAGGATGCCCTCCATGGTTTACCACCCAAGTGGCTTGGAACTGGAAAGTGGTAGTAACTCTCATACTCCACTGGAAGAGAAAAGGGGGAGAAAATGTGGTGGAGAGCTCAAAGGAACATCAACACCGGAGACAGTGCAACAGGTGACCATGAAAATCCTATTTTGAAAAGCAGACCACACCTGATTTATTCAACCAGACTTTATTGGACCAGAACCCACCTAGTAGTCACCAGTACTGTTGACAACTTGTCCATCTGCATCGAATAATATGACGAGAGGAGGAACTCTTGGAGTAGAAACAGGTGAGCCCTGGGAAAGAGCAGAACAGGAAACAGTAATAGGAGCATGTCTAGGCTCTGAATGAGACAAACAATCTACCAAAGAAGAAAGTGTTGTTTGTTGTCTCACCAATTCTACACGAGATTCCAAAGTCTCAGGAATATTACTGAAAACATATTGCTGTAGAAGAGGGGCCATGCATAAGTCCCAGAAATAAGTTGGCAGTAAATGAACCAGGGACAAAACAGCATCCCACCCTAGGAAATCCCAACAACAGAGAAACCACATGTGTAAGGAAAGAGCCAAAGAAGACAAACAGCTAACGTGGAGGTAATCAGGGAGAAGTATCCCTTGGAAAACCCTCAGGATCTCGATGGATTGTCTCAAAAAGGAGGTGGATGGTAGACAAGTACCATACGAGAGTCAATAAGGTAAGAAAAAGGCAGGAAAATTGGGCATGGGATAAATGAACAGGATGATAAGGATCCACTACCCACATGGCCAAAATCGACTCCAACTGTTGAGAAGAAAGCAATGGACATTCAGTCTCATGGTGGACCAAAGCCCATGGAGGGCAAAGCATGCTAGCACCATCAACCATCTGAGAAAGAAAACGCCTTTCATGAACCCTAATATCCAAGGAAGGGGAGAAAACCAAATACTGAGAGAAGGGGTATCATGTAACAAGGAAAGATGGAGATAATGTGAAATTGGGGAAATGGATAAAACAGAACATACTTGAGAAATCATGACTCAGGAAGACTCAGCAAAATCAGGTGAAGGAAAAAGGGCTGTCAAATTCCTCGTCAGCCCAAACAGGTTCGGCATGTTCAGGAGGAATAGGGGCAACACCATGAGAAGCAGTGTGACTCATATAATGATCAATCTCATGGTGGATGAGAGTGGATATGACCATAGACAAGTTACCCCCACCTATAACCTGTGTGAGTGTGCTATTAGAAGGTATTACCTCCAAAGTGGTAACTTGTACTTCAAAATTCATCGTGCAACAATAAATAATCAAACCTAACCATTTGGTGGAAAAAAAATTTCAAACTGGGAAAAACAAGTTATCAGAAAATGTTTAAACTTTGAAAAAAACAAACAAATTCCCTCAAATGGAGTGTGTTGCACTGCTGTTGATAGAGGGTTGTCACATGAAGATTTACATATGAGATGCAGTTGTACCACTTGATTGTAAGGTACGTGGGAGCTCAAGTCTTGTGGCATGTGAAAAAAATATTTTGCATATAGAGGGCAGCACTGAACGAGAATAGTTATTTATGTGAGAGGAGGTAATGTACCACAACAGAAAACTAATAATTAAAGTGCTGTAACACTTAGTAGATTAACTAATGAGACAACTGTTAAGGCAATTTCTGTGGGAAAAATAATTGACACCAGGAAGGTGTTGATAATGGAATTTGCACAACCAGTGTGCTAACAATATTCAATGTGATAACAACTGTATTTTGTGAAAGCACAGGATGCACAGCTGAACAATATAACCTAATTTCCAACAGTTATACTTGGCTTTGTATGTTATATTTCAGGTCTGTCAAGATAATGGAAGCATTATGACACACCAATGACTTGAGGTGGCCCTATGGCCAAAACTCAGCAAGGGTGAGGTTAGGAGACCATGCAGTCACACACACACATTTGTGTATATGTGGAAAATCTCTACTGGTTAGTTGTTTCCTGAAAGCAGATCACAGCAATGACTTGACAGTCCCTGCACTGTTTTATATGAAAACTATATCTTTCAATATTCCTCTGAAGTACAAGGAATGAGAACATAATCCACCAAGGATCAACAGAGGTAAAATCCGTTATTTGAAATGAACTCACTCATGAATCTAGATCACACTGTAATTTTCTCAGCATATAATAGCTATTACAATAAGGCATATGAATTGTTTTCATCCTGGATGGCACAGAAGCAATTGTTGATCCAGAAAGAAAGAAAAGTGAACCTCATCATTCCATATAAATTTTCTAGCCAGGTATGGTTGATTTCACCTGGATCTGTGGATCATAATACAAAGGCCAGTCATTACTATGTATTTGCTGCTAGCAGTTCAGGAGTGATTTGTATTTTGTGCAGCATCAATATCTTACTCATTACCATCAGACTTGAATTTGGTGTGCTTTGTAACTTTACTGGTGTTGTAATCTTATCAGAATTTATTTCCTCAGTAGTAAATACTGCTTATTTAATTTCAACAAACACAGTGAAGTAGCCACTACAAGTTGCATCAGCAGCCAATCCTATTTAAAAAATTATTAGCATGGAATAAGACTAACTGCTGCATGGTCCTGTTTATTTGTCACTTTCATTTTGATAGAATCATTGTTATTACTAGTACTGTAATAATACTTTGTAACAGCAATACTAACATTGAAGAGATAACCCATTTGAGCTATTTAAAAAAAAAGCTTCCTACCATGTGGAATGGATGTTTTTATAGAGCCTCCGATACGTAAATTTCATGATCTATTATTTTTGACACTAGAAATGCCTTTCTCATCATCACACTCAATGCTCCAGATAAGCTGCACACCAAGTGTTTTACAATTAAAAAAACATAAGTTATTTATGAAATTTAAATTTAATATATAAAGAATATGCAATGCAAAAATTAAGCTTTTGATTTTTCACAGCTCCTGGTGTCCCTATGGTCAATTTAGCATATTTTACATGAGCTTTTCTAAAAACATATGACCAGTGAGATCAGGTTTTCAATTAGAAAAAGATACGAGAAATATAAATCTACTCACTTGTGGTTCTTATTCATGGGAATGGAATAAGCAGCTTGTGAAATAACAGAAGTTTGAATCTACTAATTGATGATGCTTGTTTGTGGGGATGAAATAAGCAGCTTGTGAAACAACAGAAGTTTGAATCTACTTATTGATGATGCTTGTTTGTGGGGATGAAATAAGCAGCTTGTGTAAAACAGAAGTTTGAATCTACTTATTGATGGTGCTTGTTTGTGAGAATGGAATAAGCAGCTTGTGAAACAACAGAAGTTTGAATCTACTTATTGATGGTGCTTGTTTGTAAGCTGCTTATTTCATCCCCACAAACAAGCACCATCAATAAGTAGATTCAAACTTCTGTTGTTTCACAAGCTGCTTATTCCATCCCCAAACTTCTGTTGTTTCACGAATCTACTTATTGATGGATGCTTGTTTGTGGGGATGAAATAAGCAGCTTGTGAAACAACAGAAGTTTGAATCTACTTATTGATGGTGCTTATTTGTGGGGATGGAATAAGCAGCTTGTGAAACAACAGAAGTTTAAGTTTAAATCTACTTATTGATGTTGCTTGTTTGTGGGGATGGAATAAGCAGCTTGTGAAACAACAGAAGTTTGAATCTACTTATTGATGGTGCTTGTTTGTAGGGATGGAATAAGCAGCTTGTGAAACAACAGAAGTTTTAATTCACTAACTGATGATGTTTGTTTGTGAGGTGTAAATAACCAGCTGTAATGGTGATGATAGGGATAAATATAGGGGTACATCTTAAAGCCAAATACTCACCATTAGTGGTGTAGACATACTGTCTTACACACTGGGTTTGTCCAGATTCAGTAAAAGGCTTGCCAGTACTTACCACTTTTAAATCTAGGTTCAACTCTCTATTTACAATGCTGCATAGTTGTGCAACAGGAACTATAAAGATTTAGAGAGGGATAAAATGGACTGGATGAGCAAGTTCTCAAAACTGAATAGATTCACAGTTTTAATTGGCTCAGTTTGAGAAATACAGTGAAGTTGTAATTGCTTTGCGTGAGCTTAGTGCTGAGGGTAATGCAACAAATTCTGCAGTATTTCAACAACTACAAGTGTATACTTATTACAGCATCTATCTTAATGTTTAATAATTCTTTGTAAGCAGTTGTAGAAATAATCATTGTTTTTCAGTGAAATCCAGCCATTGGTAAACACTACTGTTACCATCCTTCATGCATTACTTAGAAATGATGGAGAAGATCTTAAACTGTTAGCAGAAGATTTTCATCATGATAAAGAGGACAGTGAGTGCATTCTTCTGAAAGTTGTGCAATTCAAAGTGCACCCTTTGATGCAGAATTTCAAAAGCTACAAGATAAATATGTTACCAGTGTGAAAGGTAACACTGACATCAGATTCAAGAAAGGATAGTTTTATCCAGCCTTATTTATAGCATTTATTAGAGCTAATCACTGTTATGAAAAGTAGTGATGTTGAGAGTAAAGATACTGGGAAGGGTTCCTGTTCTCTTTGGGAAACTAAGAATGTTAAAGTGCAGGACTGCATGTTGAGAAGAATGAAGTAGCTCCTTTGTTTGATGGATGATATACTGTTGTTACAAGGCATGGTTAAAGGAAGTAATGTGACACAATGAAAGTTCGCAAAAATGTTCTTAATTTATTTGTAAAATTAAAGCTTAACATTGCAAGGCTATGTAACATTATCTTGTGAGTCTACTTAACATGTACTGAATGTTATAGAGCACAATTAAAAGAAAATATAAGCAATTAAATATGACAAAAGTTTGCATGCATATTTTTAATCTACATGCAAATCTGTTTCCAAGCTATATAATGTTATGTTGTGTTTCTGTGTAACAGCCATTAACCCTTTCACTGTACAATATGCCGGATGTTTCACCGATGCAGGGATGTTCCTGCTCGTCACAGTATTTTTTTTTTTATGTATGTAAGTCCCAATGCCAACACATGCAGGTTTTTGGTAGCAATGAGATAAATCTGAATTTTGCAGTCACTAGGTATAAATGTTTGTTTGGATATATCTGAAAGTTGCAGCAAAAGGGTTAATGTGAAAGTACATTTAGTGACTAAAAAAGGATAAAAATCAAACTGAGTTACTCTCAAAAGTGAGAACATTGACACTTTGATTCAAACAATTATGCTACAGCCAAGAGTTTGACCCTGCTTCTGCTGCTAAACTGTAAGAACTGAAGAAGAGAAGACATCCTGTCAGGTTTTGGTAGTCATACAGGAAAGGGGGGGGGGGATTAAAAGAATTTAGGCAAACAGTAGTCAGAAAAATATAACTGCATCTATAGCTGCATCATTACAATGTTTCCAAAAATAATAGTTTTTTTGTTTATATCACTAGAAATGCACACACACACCCCCACCACACTTCCATAAGTAATTATGGTAAATATTGAAAGCTATTATTCATGATGCATTTTACACATCCAAAATACATTTTAATGTCAAACCTAGTGAGTAAACACCAACAAACCCATATCCTTATCTCAATTACTTATCTAATTTACACATCTACCAAACATTATAACTCTCTGATGCTTGATTTTTACGTTATATGCTAAAACAGGCCAACTACCTTGTAATAACCCTGTGCTATTGTTCTCTGATGAATAGTGTTTGAATAAGGGACAATAGAAATTGGCTAATTCACTTAATAATGACCCCATACATACATACATTGCAACTACTAACTTTCATGGCCATAACTGCATTCTGACACTTCTCTAACAGTCTTTCTCTGTTAACTAAATAATTACAAGCCTCTCAAATCTATTAGTAAAAGATGAGTCACGTCATGCTTCATCAACGTTGTGAATTTCTGAATACTTTCATATGTGTATGATACTGTTTGTCACCTGATGACTTGAATTTTCAGAATTTCCATTTAAAAGATCATAATATCTATTTATCTCAATCAACACCTAGATATTTTTCCAATTTCTGTCTATGTCTAGTGTAGAAGTTATGGTACTGCAGTTATATTTAGCATATGCATCCTTTTACTGTAACTGATGCTATGAAAGTTTATCAGCTTTATTATAAATTGAAACCAATAATGCATATTTGGTTATCTATGCTATAACTTTTCTTTCACCAATTTCTTATGCTGTGTCAGAGGCCTATATTTTGTATAAATTCCAAGATTAACTAAAATAAAATTATTTGTTGAATCATGAGAAGAAAAGAATAGTTACTGCATAGCAAAAAGTCACAGTTTTAGATATTTGATTCTAATCTGAAAAAGAACCAGTAAAAACTAAACAGCAACTGAACCTTAATATTTGATATTTATTTTTAAATGCTGGTTAAAAGAAATATTTAAAAACATCTATATGTTACAAATCACTGATTTTCACAAGGTAAAAACTACAAAGAACACAACAACTGATTTACAACAAATTAATATAATCCTACCTCCTAAAATGTTCCAAACATAAAGGCCTAACATCCCAGTTATAAGTTCAACAGGTGTTGTAACAGTGTTTAAGACTCCAAAAATTGCTCCAAGAAGTCCAAAAAGCAATGCCATGACAAGAAAAGTAATGGTCATAGTCCACAGTCCAAAATTGAAAAAACTTGGATATTTCTGATTTTCACCCATTACTAAAATAAAGTATAAAATTAAGTGGGTTGAGGTTTTCACCCTTGATAAATTTTCTGTATATAAATATACACATACACTAAATATGTATTTTTGGAATTGTTCTTTAGTGTATCACTGTTGCTTCTTATTAACAATATAACAAAATGGTGAGTCTATATGCTTCCAAAATATAAAAGAAATTTTTACTGTGGAATCTTCCATATTGTTCATAGTTCAATAATTTTTTTCAACTAAATTAAAATCACGTTTTTAATTATCATCAAAACTGCTTAAGCTTTAAAATTTTCAAACTGAAATATACGTTTAATGTTTTTCCAATGATAATCTCAGAAACCCTTCAAATATTCAATTTAAAAAATTAGCTACTATCTGGGTAATAGTAATTGCCAAATATTACTTGTTAAAATTCCTTTAATAATTTTTTCAATTCAAAGTTTTTCATAAACAAGAGGGAATCCTCAATAGCCATGGCACTAGAAATTCTATTAAGCAGGATTACAGTAAATTAATCTATCCAACCTTTTTTTCCATTTTTTTTTAGCTATATTTCTTGTGCCAGCAATACCAAGCATTAGGCTCGCATATACCCATTTCAATTTTATTATTCATCGGGATCTCTACCAGTCAACCCTTGAACTGAAATTCTTTTAGGCAGGATTAAACTAAATTAATCTATGAGACCTTGAGCATGGTCACATACATCATCTGAAAGGGTTTGACCTCCTAAGTCCAAAACTGTAGTTAGATCTCAAATCGATCAAGAGTTAAAAGTTTGTACATGAAAAAACAACTCCAAGCTGTTCCACTACACTGTAGCTAAAAATTAAATGTGTCATCATTCGTAGTGTTCAAAAACATAAAATAAAAGAATTTGTTTTCAAAGTTAAAAATAATTACTGGTATAAAATCTAGCAAAAACATTGCTTATAGTAATAAAGATTAAAGAAAAGAATAAACTGAACCTGTGCTATTTAAATGTAAGCTCTCTTCCAGTTCTTTCCTTCTGTCCTCAGGTGTCTTCTGATGGCTATACATACACACATTTTCTGAGGGCAAGCAAACAACTGAAAAAAAATATTTACTTTGCAATTCACAAAAAGACTTTTAACAATCATTAGCAATTAGAATTAGTATTTACATATTTAAAAAGTTGAAAATGTATCATACAATAAAAAGAAACAATATTCATTCAAATGCATAACTTACAGACTTCTATGATGCTTTGTTACATCCTTTCAATTTAGTTCACAAGTTTCATTACATGGATGTCTGTCTGTATTCAACTCTTCCCAAAATCTACATCAGTGATTTTGACTGAATTTGATAAAAGTGTTGAGTGACATGTAAGAACCAACTTACTAAAACCTATGAATGAAATCTAAAAATCAAAATAGCAGCTACTAATAAATTAAATAATCGGAACTTTACTAGGTTATGAAACTTAGGAACAAATTAATTTATTTCAGTAGTTGAATATAAAAGGTATATATAGAAAGTGAACGTTTATAATTACAAAAACTTCTATTATACTTTTTAATGGATAAGGACCAATTCCAGTTTTGATGTTAATAAAAGACTACACACCTAAAATGTGTCAACAATCTTAAGAGAAGTTTGAACAAATGTTTGGACAGGTTTGATTGTGAACAAGATTAACTGAAGATACAGGTTATCCTGGTTAAAAGTAAACAGTAATGCTTCAGAAACTTCTTTGCACTTTAAAAAACTAGTTGTTTGTTTTACCTTGAAATCCAATATTTTACAAAATCCTGTACAGTTATCTTCTAATTATTCTTCAGTTAATTTTAATACTCATTTTTTCGTAGAATATTTTTAAAAAGTAGGTTGTAAAACAAAAATTCTCAAGTTTTTTAATGATACTAAAAAAAACACATAAGATCAGAAAGTAGATAAATCACAAAATAAATCAAGTTTCTGTGTTTCATAATCAAATTACTTTACCAACATTAACTAAAGCATATATATATTGGAATTTAATTTATACATAAAGCTGTTTTACCTTAATTATTCATATCAGAATGACAAAAATACTTAGAAATGACTTATTAGTCCCACAAATAGATGGTTCTGTGACGTCTCTGGTCGTTAGTTTGTTTCCCGTATAATTTCTTTCCGACGAAACTATAGCGACACAAGTCCTTTCTTTAATAAAACTGGTTTATTCTTTCTGAATACAACTGTGCAATACACTTAATTTCCATAGTCACGCTATAATTCACAATGAACGACTCACGTGCTCGACTCAATCGCCAGTTTCTCTTTCGCTGTCTGCAGTTCAATTACATTCAATTATTGCTGTCACTTCCTGGCGGCTTATATACAACAATACCGCATATCTAGTAACCTCTTGAGGCTTCAAGAAAAGACATGAACGTCCTAGAAGCCATGACGTTTTACTAGAGTCACGTGACCTCTGCTGTCGTAACTCTGCCCATTCCTTAGTATTGTTGCGTCAGCAGTCACATGACCGCCGTGACGCAAC